CCACCCGCCGCGCTCCCTCCGCCGCCGCGGAACGGTGGGTGAAGGGCCTTCGGGGTCGCGGCGATCCCAACGCCCGCGATCCCCTCTTTCTCTCAGCCGGCTCTGGCCCCGGGACGCCGGGCGGCCCTCAGCGTGGACTCCACCCTGGGCTCGCACTTTCTCTCCGCAGGGTCCCGGTCCTCTCAGCGCGGACCCTCCCCCCGCCGTCTCCCCTAAGCCAGTCCTTTCTCCCTCAGGGGACCCTGGTTTATGGAGCACCCTGTTTCTTCACTGAGGGCTCTCAGATGCCACACCTTGGCACCGTGCACCTATCCTAGGGCGTTTTCTTCAGGAAGCCCCACGCTTCCTCCCAGCCCTGCAAGCGTCCGCCTCTGCGCAGACCCCTAATGGTGACTCTCCTCGGACCTCGGTGCCCACTCCTGTCCCCCGGCCTCCCCTTGCCCAGGCCCCCTCTCCTAGGCTCAGGCTCCGGTGGGACCCCGGGGCTCGGGACACCTGCCTTTTCCCGGCCTTTGCTGGACTCTACCCTCGCCGCCCAGCCTAGCTCTTCCGGGGTGCTGAGAATTCCTCACCTGGCCGGGCCGCTGTGTCCCCTTGTTTGTCCCGGCCCAGCCTGCAGGTTCCTCCGGGTTGGGTCCCCCCCCCCCCCCCCACTCAGTGTTTTGTTTCTGTTTGATATTTTCCCCCTCGGTGTTTGCAGCGGAATGTTTTTATTGGTAACGTGTAAGGAGCTTTTGTGAGGTCGTAAAAGGTGAACTTTTGAACTTGGAAAGCGCCCTGGAGCAATTAGCTAAGGCGATAGCCCCGGGAGGCCTGCATTACAAAGGGTGCTCGTTGCGGCTGGCAAACGCTCCAGCGGTAAACCCGATTTATTTATTTATTTGCCCTGCCTTCCACCTTTCACATCTCCTCATTTCCGAATAAAGGGCAGGCCCTCAGAGATCCCTGCCTCCTCCCCTCTCTGCGCCATAAACGCGCAATTCTCTGGAAGATCTAGGACCCGAACAGTGTCTAACAAGTAACAGATTTCAGATTGAATGCAAACACCGGGGACAGTTAGGAGGCACTAAAAATTAATTGCTTTAGTAAGAAGTTTCTCAAATCAGGACAGTGACCTGGCAGGTGTGGGGAATGCAACCCGAAAATCGGTCACCGAGGCGCTCGGTTGTGGAATGAATGAATGAATGGGGAGCCACAAAAGGGAAATCGGGCTGGATTTGCTTCTTCATAAATTTATTAATTCATCAACCATTTATTGTTAATTCGGTAGATCTTTAGTTTCTTCTTTATTTTAACCAGTTAAGAGGAAAAGTCTGTTTAGAAGAAAGCCTGGCTAATTTGATATTGTGATCAAACGGTGATGTTTTCAAAGCTCTTGAGTTTGAGATGTGTATGAGGTGTGGGATCTAGGTGGCCGGGCATCCGGTGGAGAGTGATTGATTCTACATGTGAACGTGTTTGGGATCGGTAAAATCCCACGTCACAAAAGGGGGGAAGAAGGACAGTGTCTAGAACCAAGGTGATTTCTTTAGTGTCTTTGACGTTTTAAAAGTTAATTTATACAGAGATTTGGCAATGTTGTAATTCTTGACCTCAAATTCGCCATGCAGATTTTAAAATTCCATTCCCAGATCTATCGGATGTCCCTGTTAGTGTATTTCCGTAATGCTTTCCTGTTTGCGAGTAGTTCCTGTCCCCACCTGTGCTTACTGTTGGATGACAGATTTTATTGCAGCCATCACTTTCAGCTCTACTTGAGAATATTATTGTAAGGGAAACCAGAGAACAATGCCGTTGTTATTAATTATTCATTGGAACATTTAAAGAACTGTGTGGCAGTTTTATCTCTTAATCAGATTATTTGTTAATACTCATCTTTTTCTCAACGGATCAGAACCATTTAAAAGACTCTTAAGGAACAGTCTGTTAAGCTAAAAGCGTTTTACTATTTCACACCAGTTCAAGTTAGTGATACAAATATATTCCTTTTTGTCAAAAACACAATGTGAACTTTTGGCAGCTTAATTTGTTCAAGAGAAAACATGAAATTTTTGTAGCATAGCTTGTTTCTTCAGTACAAAAATTAGCATTGTGTCTGTAGTGTTTTTTAGTTTATGTTAATGAGTACCCAAAAGGTGCTCGGGAGAATTTTCAAAATATAAAGTTTTCCTTTGGAATAGTGAACTTTTTTTTTCTTCCTCCCTAATGAATAGTTTTCTCCAAAGATAAATGAGATTGTTTGATATCTGAGGGGAAAAGCACTTCTTTAACTTTTCATCCTGGCGACATTTCCATTTTAACTGAAGTCGTTTTCTAGAGAGGAGGTCTTCGGTCTGTGTCAAGAAGTAAAGTCCATTGCTGAATTTACAGTCCTCCAGATGTTTTTATGATTGCATCTGAACAGAGTAGCCAGCCTTTTAATGCACCATCACCCTTCCAGGAATTCCTTATGCTGACTCTGCTATTTTTGGCTGTTGCTTGTGGTTTTCATAACAAACTAACTCACTTAGTTGTTATAATGATGCTCCCTTTTGGGATTTCAAAGGGAGATGAATGCTTTGAGGAAGCATTTGTTCATTTTATTTCAAGAGAGTGAGGGAGTAGATTTTTAAATATTTAAATAGCAAAAAGACTATAAACCATTATAAGGAATTAAGTGCATAATTTCACCTTATTCTTTTGGAGGAAATGAGCTCACTAAGTACTGTGGATGCTTCCTCACATGAGATTATCAACAAAATGCTTTTTTTGTTTTGTTTTGTTTTGTTTTTTTCAAGACACAGTTTCTCTGTGTAGTCCTGGCTGTCCTGGAGCTCAATTTGTAGACCAGGCTGGTCTCAAACTCAGAAAACTGCCTGCCTCTTCCTTCCTGAGTGCCGGGATTCTAACAGTGTGCACCACCATGCTCAGCTTAAAATGCTTATTTCTTAAATTAACAAGCACTTTACTTCACAAATTTAACTTTTTAGTTTTGTGACTTGAAAATTTAATTCTGAATCAATTGAGAATGTTCTAGTTTCCTTAAGGAAAAATCTAAGATGTAAAGTCACCACATTTCCAGGCTCTGATGTACCTACCATTTACCAAATCCTGAAAACACCTTATTCTTGGAGAGTATGAGGAGAGCATGCTTACTAATATGAAATTCATGCTACATTTTGTAGCAGAAGTTGTATGCTTGTACAAGTACATGAAAAGGTGTTCGAAGGGAAGCTAATGAAAAAATGCAAGTTTTCAAATATATATATTTGAATATTACATATATATATATATATATATATATATATATATATAGTATTTCTTGATTTCTCATCTCCCTTTTTCCTCTGGAATTGTGGGACAAAGGTAAAAATTCTAGGTTAAAACACAGTTTTAAGACAGTTGCTAAAATAGCTCTTAAATAGAAGAAGGAAATGACTTTGTATGTAAAAACCATATTATATCTTATTTGAGAAAAGGGGTCAGAATTAGAAAGCTCTGACTATAGATAAACAGGCTTCCATTTCAACAAGGAAGCAGTTTTAAGGAGCAGATAGTTTTTTAATGTGCCCCTGTGGGTAGTGGTGCAATATAACGGATTCCTTGTAAAACCCCAAACATATTTCCAAAACACACAAGTTGTGAAGGGAAGTGTTTTTTGTATTCTTGAAGTTAATTTAAAAATTAAAAAAAATATTTTTAATAAATGTTTTCCTGGCTTAGGTAAGTCCTTGGGTGGATCTATGGACGTCACTGTTTGATAAGTGGTGTTCAGAGATGACAGAATTATTAAGTTTGCAAGGTGGCTTGGTACTTATTCCAGAGAATTCTGTTTTGGTTATTAAGGTTTTTGTAACTGAAATTTTGGGTTCATCTTTATTTTAATTGTTAATTTTAGGACTCTCTGAATATAACTTTGCTGTACGATGTTCCTAAAATCAGCCTCAGTCTTCTGTTCCCCAGTGTCTGCAGCATAGTTTGGGGTGCTTGTTAGATTGTAAGTTAGAGAAATTTAAAAAGAAAAAAACAACAACCAAACCCATAACATTGTGAGATAGCTATTGTTTAGAAACAAATGGGCATAATTTATTTAAATTAAATATTTCTTGCTTATTTTATTCTGCTGTTATGACCTGTTAAACAGCATTCTTTTTAGAGACATCTCTGAAGAAAATAGATTTGTTTTCCCAAGGGTTACAATTATTTAAATTATTTTAGTAAGCCTTTTCTAGTGTACTCAGCAATTCTAATTAACAGTGATTGAGCTTGGAAGGACAAGGATTGCCTCAGCTGGCTGCTGGGGATCTGAATTGCTTTTTTCCCCACCCCCAACTTCCCAGAATCTTTTGATCCCCATGCTACCATGGTTGTCATTTGAGAAAGCAAATTGAGAGAAAATAAGTTGGGAAAATAGCCTACTTTGAGCTTTGTTTGCATTTTCGATTTTTGTTCTTAAATTATAGAAATAATTGAACTTCAGACTTTTATCATGTTGAAAGCAAGCTGGATTTACTATTATGTCGAAGAGAAAACTTCCAGATTTCTGTAAAAAAATGCAAGTTTTGTTTTGAGATTTTCAGAAGTTAGCCTTTGTGCAATGGAAACATTTTTATTCAAGGTAGTTTGTGGTTTTTCTGTAGCATTTTGTAATTCCAGATTAAGAAGTTATGAGTTCTTAAGTTTCAAACAAGTAAATGCTGTAATTTTGTTGTATTATGAGTTAACTTTTAAAAGTTTCTTCTAAAATGATATCTTTGCATCCTAACTGCAAACTCTGAATCCTTGAATTTGTTTATAGCAGAGAAGCTGTTCCCCCTACACCGCAGAGGGAAGTAGTAGTTATTTTTCTGTTTTCTAGGCTGATTTTTACTTTTAGGTTAGTGTCAATTCTGTAGACACTGTTGATAAGTCTCTTGGCAGGTGTGATGTAGTGTACTCCGGAGAACAAAACCCAGCTTCCGATCTGGAGATGCATTGTGGGTGTGTGCTAGAGCAGTGGCTCGCTTCGCATAGGCAAAGTGAGATTTGTTTTTAACTCGGTGATGGTGATCAAAA